ATCGGTCTAGCAGCACGTCTTGGTGTCTCTCACATTGTGTTAGACGTTGACCTACAGTTTCCAGTAGATGTTTTCATCCTAGTTTAAGCCTTTGCAGGTAGCGGTTGTCTGCCTGAGTCTAGATGGGAAGAAAGTCGAATTTTCTTTTACCCCACATCAATGTTACCTACTAGGCGCTTATGACTGCAAGGAAACAATATGAACTTTGATATGAGGAAAGCAAACAAACCGATGAAATCTTCATACTGATGCCCTTCTTATATTGCGGAGATCAGCCGAGGTCTTAAGGAAACGACGTTGGCCTATCTTGATTGGTCGATGATAACAATACGTAATACAATACCTTTTTCATTACTCTTATCACTTCTGACAGACGCAATTACTTCTTGTGTAGTTTCTAATTATTAACGGACCTAAGCTACTGTTATGTAGAGAGTCGAGACAAAATTGTGTAGAGCAACACGGAACAGTTCTCGCACATTTTTACACATATTCTGTTTTTCTTAGCTTCCACCGGCATGAAGAGCTCAATGTCGCTGTCGGAAGAAGTTTGGAGATGTGGCTCGAAGTAATAGTAAATCGGAGGCATTATGATCGCATTGAATGTCGGCTTCATGTTTACTGTACTCGGCACGCAGCACATGATTAACTAGGCAAATTTGTTATAGTTGCCTTTATGTATATTGAATTCAAAGCTACTAGGGATTTTTGTCCGCGGTGCTGACCTGATGCAAACCGACAGGCAGGCAAAGCTCACAGATAAAACATATACTTGGAGGATTCGCAGATATTAAGTGAACTTTTTATCGCAATGATGAGGTCTTGCATACCGATTAAGTGGTATGGATTTTTAGCGACTGGACTTAGTAATCCTGGCGTAATTAAAGAACGCGCTGACTGAAACCCTACCATGTGTGAATCACAGTTACTTCTACCAAAGCTGTTGCTATTTCCCCCGTAGTCACTACTACAGGTACGTAATGATGATATCAGCATATTAGTGGTACGACGTCCGCACTTGGATAACTCAGCTCCCCGGACAAACCGGTATCCCAAGGAATACTGATTTTTACCATCACATTCTAGTGGTAAAGGTCGATTCATGTCATAGGCACATGCCTAGTTGCTTTTATCGAGCCGTCTTCAGCCTGCAACAGTGTGACTTGTGCTACTCACACTATCCTCAAGGTGTAGAATAGCGATAATGGACTAGGACGATTTTTTCGTTTGCTGCGTGTACACTACCCGCAGTCGAGATGTGTGATTGTTGTTTGCCTACACAGGGTCCACAAGTGTCCCAAGGACAATAGACACACTCCAAACTAAGATCACTCGTTGTGCTTGAAACGGACCCCGGTGTCTTTTAAAGTCTGGCTCATCAATGCGTGTCACACACGTCGGCAATGATTGAAAAAGCGCACGCCATTATTACGCTGTTTGAACACTTCCAAACATTATTATTGTAAATCCAGGTTCTCATTCTGATATACAGCGTGTTAACACCATGCGAAGAAACATGATAGTTCAAATAATTGTCACACAGTTATCATACGACTCTGACACACCGTTGCATTTAAATTCGAACATAATGATCCCGGTGAGACTATTTACCGGCAGGAGACATGAAAACCAAATAAGCGATAACGTATTTTATTGTCCTTTCTCAAGCGGCAATCAATGTGACATTTGTGTGAAACTAAACAAAGTGGTGTGAAAAGATTTGGGGTTAACTTTGGTGTTGAAGAGGAGGTTGGATTTATTTTGGTCATGTGATTGCATGCGCCGTTAATTATAGCATAGTTTATAGTGCTGCCAAGTCTCAGGTGGATTAGAGACGGAAATGTCTGCCATGTCAATAAACCTCAGCTCCTATAAGGCAGCTTTTGTTTTGATGCTACGTCTCAGTTAACACTTCAATCTTTCCGATCCATAATTGCCTTCTACTATATTAGCGTAGACAACGAAGTATAATCTGAGCTATTACTAGGTTGAATTTAATAATATGCAAGCTAATGCGCAATTACAAAGATCAGTGTTAGGAAACGACTATTCGACGACATTGCTGATAATGTACAATATGTGCATAAATGCAGGTGTGAGAAAAGCAAGTAAGATAATTTACTCCACGTACAGTTCCTAAAACTTTAAGCTAGATTTTTTTACATAGTTCAATAAGTACATAAACTCCTTTTTAATTTTATCGTCCCAGCAGCTCACAAGCTACATAGATAAACGACAGTCCGGAAAAGCTGCAGACAAGTTTCTCCCTATTACGGCTCGTCAGTTTTACCCCCTTCCCCGGTCTCCTACTGGGGATAAAACCCATGACTACAAGAGGCTGATGACAGATAGCCAGCAGTTTTAGCCCCTGAGCCATGGGGAAGGTGTTGGGTTACATAATTTGCAAACTAATTTGGATATATCACGACTTCTCTTCCACTGCCAAGCAGATTATTACCATTGCAGATAACAGGGGCTAGCCTCCGAGGTCATGTCTTCCTCTTACCAGGCACCATGTCCATAGCTTTTAAAAATGAGACATGCTACATTTGCTGCATGCAAATAATGTGGCCCAGCCATCGTCCCTCATGGCTCAGTGACTTAAGCTGCTGATATTTAGCGTCCGTCTCTAGTGGTCCTGGGTTCGATCTCCATCAGGGGATCGTGGGAATGCGCAAAACTGACGTGCCCCAAAAGGATCAAACGCGTCCGAAGTTTTTCCCGATTGTGCTTGAGCTATGTAGGTTGTGAGATGTTGATAAGTATACATTAGGATTACAATTAAAATTCTCCTACTCATAAGTATAATAAATTGAACTTATTATCGAAAAGACGAGAAGCACCAGTATCGACATTCACTTAAATTCAACAACTTCCGCCACAATTAAACCGAGGATCCTTTAGTCTGTGAAGTAAATGCCTGAGCAAGTATAGTTCGGAAATTTCCTCTAGGGCATCGGTCTAACATTTGCACCATTATCTGTCTTCAACAACTCAGTATATAACTGCTGTGTGTTGGTTATTCCTGACGTTAGGAATTTCGACTATCATAGCTCCTTTCAGAATAGAGAAGAAAGATTGATTTGGCCTAATGAAGGACAAGAACCAATTAGCTGGAAATTGTAGGTCAATACATAACGCAATGTGAGAGACACCAAGATGTGCTTCTTTACTTGTAACATGGCTTACATCCTTGCAACATCTACCACCCCTATCCGCGATCAGTCCCACTTTACGGAAAACCCTAGTTTCATGCACAAAGGAAAAAGAAAGCTGACAAGAAGATAACGCCCACTATGCCAGTTACCATCGTGGATCTTATGCTGTAGTGTCGCATTGGACGTAGGCTATAGTTCATGCACAGTTATCAGTGTGGTTTAATGAACCAGCAACGGCCAACCCAAATCCGTGATGTTGATTATTGTGTTGTCGCATCAATTTTTGTATCCTACAAAGCTTTGTGTTATCCACCATTGTCAAAGTGACTAAGTGCTTATCTGTACTCGGTGAGTAGATATCCCTGGCTCTTGTGGCAATCAACGCAATCGATTCAGTATAGGTTTTAATCAACTGAACCTATCTGCTCACTGTTGCCTTGTGTTTAACTGTGCCACTAGGGAAACTGGACGCTAACATTTCTCCGAAGGCATTGACTGCCAGAGCATTAGGGGCATTACTATCCCTGACACCATAACGTAGGTGACATTGCTGCAAGAAGAGTTTTCCACATTGAAGTCGGGTGCAAGCGAACCTACGACAGCTGCTTGCAAGGACCAAACATCAGTTCACCAGAAATTACACAACAATGGTCTAGCTGACTAAATCTTCATATTACAAATGCATCGTCTAGTCGAATTTAGCAACAAATGGGTATTCTTGTTCCTGTCTGTTATTTTCACCTACCATATAGAGCAGCATGCTGTTCAGCCGAAGGAGTTGCTCAGCTCTTCAAGCAGGATCGTGCTGTGTTTAAACAAGTAAGGTAATGCATTCAAAAAGTCTAGTCGCTCAGGATTTAGATCCAAACTCTTCTCAGTAGCCCTGCTTGTCCCTCGTGAACCATACTAGACGCATTGGTCAATATTGATCGTCTCGTTCCCTAAGCTCACTCATGATAGACATCTGTTACTTCCGTTCATGCTTAGAAATCCCAGAAAACACCGGACTGTTGGATTAACCGAAATCCGTAGATTTCGTTAAAAAACATAACACTCCGGTTTGAAGCAAATTTGGAGGGTCCCACGTATAAGATCTCTTTGAGAATTAGAGATGCAAGAGTGCAAACCTAGGAAAACTCATTTTTGCTAAAAGCTGGATAGCAAATGTTTATAATATTGAATTTTAGTCAGACAGTCATCTCTTGGCAGAAAAGCGCTGTGCGTTCAATTCATTTTTAAGTGAAACTTCAAAAGCGCGCATTCCATCTCGTCGCTGTGTCAAGTGAACCCCGCAACGTAACTATCACTAGACCTCAGTGAAGACCGCTAAGCTACAGAAGACGGTAACGACCGATGTGATTACAATTTACTCTCTTGTAATACCTGGAAAATCGGGACATTTTACGGAACGAAACAGTAGCATTTTTGAACGAATATCTGTTGACAATCAGCGAGATGTTAAATAACTTCGTTAGCGGCAATGTCCACTATTTGGAGCCGCAACGGAATCTAAATTTGCATGCGAAGTTTAAGGCCAATCTGTTTGCCTATTCCAAAGCTTGTGAACCAATGAATTTATATTTGAAGGCTGCTAAGTCAACAAATAGATAAACAAATGCAAATGTGCGAGATGGTGACAAGGCATGCTACTTACCTCGCCGAATAAAAGCATCTATGATACCTCAGCATTTTTAACTTAAGAGCAACATCAGGCACAGCCTGAGTGAATTTGATGCGGTAGTGTTATCACTGGGTTCCAAGGGATTTCTCATTTCCCTATACCTCAACCTTGCATAGTGTGACAAAAATGGACCTCGTAGCGCATAGCTGATTGGCACTCACCTAGGATGTGATATGATCACTTGCATCGCTTCATGATTTCTACGCTGCAAAGCATACGTGACAAAGAACAATCCATCTTTGTCCGGAGTAATGAGGGCCTTCGAAGTAAGCAGACATTCCACAATTTGCGGTCTGTTCTCTTTCGCGGCGTAATGAAGTGCTGTCATCTGTTCAACAGAATGGGAAACAATGCAGGTTAATGTGAGAATATGATACAGTCCCACTTCTGATTGAGCAAAACTATAAAGCACCTTCACTAGCTGTCGAATGTTCTTTGATAGAAATAATACAGAATTCTGGTGTTTAAAATCATACGTTTAGTTCTAAAGAAATGACTACTGCGGCTAATCAGTCGGACCCATATTCGCACAGCTATGTTTCCCGTGTGACATAAAATATGAGTGTGTACAAGACATAGAGAAGATAAATCAGCTCCCAGTCAATTTGGAATTCTTATCCTCACGTTTCCTCTTAAGTATGCTGCAAGTGTTTAAGTCAGTTCAATAGACTAGACCTTATCTTGCCTGCACACGGTCGGAGCGAATCTACATATTGTGGTGCTGTGTGTTACAGGCGCCATCATCTATGATATCTTTGTGACATTTTAACTTTTATCTCCTGTTTTATCAGTACCCATTGAATAAATGCTGCACACAATGACTGTGCTACTGTTGGCAAATCTTATATTGGTATCGTCAGTTAGCGAGAATTGCTCATCATAATCATTGTGCATTTATACGCAAACATTTAATTATATTTAACATTATCTTACATCTATATTACATTACATTTACATTATATTTAACATTCAATTCTATTCCGAGTAAATTGAACGTCTATTAATTTTGGTTAACTTGTTAGTGGCTTCTGAGGAATTGATTTAATCATGTCTCCGTTGCACTTTTTGGCAAAATGCAGGAAAAAATATTTTGTGGAGCTGTTGGTTATGTATTCATTGTTGGTAACGCAATCAAATTGTCTAAAGTTGTTGACAGAGCCTTCAAATTCAGGCACTGCTTTTCGCGTGCGGATAAATTTTAGGATTGCCGACTACGGATTTTATGTTTGATTTGTATTTTTGAAACATTTTGATTTTTGTATATGTGAAGCGGACTACGGTCCAACCACCGCCTGGTATGCGCTTGATTCCCCAAATACAGCGTGCTTGTGTTTGCCTGTGAAGGAGTGTGGGCCGGCTCCTTTGATAAAATGTGGCCCCCATCCACATGCCTCCCGGTCTTATTCCTTCGGGTTTACACTGGATATGGGGTGTGTGGTTGGAGCTGTGGGTGGTGCAGCGCAAGCTACCCATGGTCCCTCTGTAAACGCAGGCGTCCTGTGGCTGGCCACAGTGGCAGGCAAATGCTAAAGCGAATGCCGCCAAACATATATATTGGCGGGAGAGCCTATGCTGCGCTGAGGCTGGTGGTGGCTAAATCCTGACAGGTGGACTACCCACTGCTGCTACTGTTGTGCCATTGGTTCATGTCCTGGACGCCTCCTCTTGGCGACCGCTGGGTGGGAGTTGGGTTACGCCCTTCTCCCTGCTAAGATCCAGGACACCAATCCGCATGAGTCAGTGAACTGACCACGTGCTAGACCCGCTGCCTTTCGGGTGTACATTTAATGGAAGGCTTCTGACGAGGACCCGAGTCGTTCTCCTGTCAGGTGTGGGCGCTCTGCGTGTTTCCTAGTACATCCTTTTCGGAGGTTAGGAAGAGGTCGAAGTCCCTCTTCCCTTAAAACCTAGCCATGAAACACAACGGGTCTACTGGTTATAAGCTCACGGCTCGATTGGCGTAGAGCACGAGCTCCACGTATTGTCTCCGACAGTGGGAGGGCACCTCCGAGTGTTCAATAGCTTGCTGATGCCTGCCTCAAGCCATGCAGTCTCTGGTCAAATTGGTTCAAACCCGCCAAAACCCACCTGCGTCTGACCGTGGTCACAGGTGCGTATCCTACTACGGTCGCAAAACATATATGAATCTTTCCAGTACGTCAAAAGCTGCCTGTGATCGCCGCCAAGCAGATTCCAGTCTGTCTCTACAATCATATGCTTGAGCTGGATCTGTTCCCCACTGCCTTGTGGGCCGGGCTATTGAGCCAAATACTCCGAGCGGAGTCCCTCAGGCAAACCTCCAAACAACCCACTGCCTTTTGGATCAGGCTATTGAGGCATAGGCTTCTGGTGGAGTCCCTCAAGCAAACCACCGAATGACAACCGTTACCTCGCGTGCGATTGCTCACGGACTCAAAGCACTCAGCACCGGGTGCTTGAACGTGCACACACTACTGGACCGGAACTCCAATGAGCGCCCAGAGCAACGCACAGCACTCGTCGCCATTGAACTGGCGCGCTACCACATCGACATTGCAGCGCTCAGTGAAACCCGGCTCGCTGAGCAAGGTGAGTTGCATGCAGCAAATGCTGGCTATACATTCTACTGGGTGGGTCACGCCGCCTCAGCACCACGTGAACATGGGGTCGGATTTGCAATATCCGATCTCCTCCATGACCAGCTGGTGGGTGAATCAACAGGCATCAGGGCGCGACTGATTGCTGCTCGCCTAGGACTCAGAAGTGGTAAGTTTGCCACATTTCTAAGCACCTACGGTCCGACCATGTGGTATCCTGATGACACACGCGATCAATTCTATACTCAGCTATCTTCCGTGATACGGTCTGTGCCGAGGGGCGACCGACTATTTCTGCTGGGTGATTTCAACGCGCGCGTTGGGCGTGATGCATCGGTGTGGACAGATGTTATCGGTCCGCATGGCATTGGTTCAGCGAATGCGAACGGTGACAGGCTACTCTCAATGTGTGCCACTTACGGCCTGACGATCACGAACACTCGGTTTGCACTGAGTGCGAGCGATATAGCAACTTGGACGCATCTACGGAGTGGTCACGCCCACCTGCTCGACTATGTCATCCTACGTCAGCGAGATATGCGTGAAGTGCGCATGGGACTTGTACTGCCTGGAGCTGAGTGTGGCACTGATAATAAATTGGTGCGGACCAAACCGTTCCTATATTTTCGTAAGTCTATGTATTGCACTATCGCCGTGAATCGGAGTACATTTACCATTCTCTCCCTCGGTACCGTGGAGAAACATATTGAGCCGGAGAAGATGATGGCTGCACGCCTGTGTGATGTGGACTGCGTAGCTACAGTGAATGACCTGTGGCACTAGATTCTCGACCAGTTGACATCTGCTGCCTCGGAGACCATCGGGCCCGCCAACTGTAAGCATCCTGAATATTTTGACGAGAAAAAGGCCACGATTGGCGTATTGGTGTCGGAGAAGAATGCATTATTTGCTGCACATGTGGCAGGCTCCAGTGACTTGGGGAAGAAGAGAAAGTTTGGCAGAATTCGACGGCGAATGACTGGCGAGCTCTGTCGCATTAAAAATGCATGGTGGACGGAGAAGGCGAAGAAGATGGAATGCTACGCCGAACGCCGCCAACACAAGGAATTCTTTGCATTATTGAAAACGGTGTATGGACGGAGATTGGAGCCGGTGAGGACGCTGATCGATGGTAGCTCAGGAGCTACCTGCACACAGACTGTAGACATTATGCAGATCTGGCGGAAACACTTTGACTGTCTCGTGACCAACCATTCGGAAGTCGACTGGCCTATTTTGAACGGCCTTAATCAGTACGATATGGAGGCGAGTCTGACAGACACACCGACATTGGATGAGACGCGTAGAGAAATTGCTCAGCTGCGGAACGACAAATGTGCCGGAGCCGACGGGCTCCCGCCTGAAGTATCGAAACAAGTCGGACCCGCGTTGGTGATTGCGCTGCACCACTTGGTGCAACGCATATGGACTGAATAGTAGGTGCATCCTGAACTGAAGGATGCCGTTGTGCTACCACTGTACAAGAGTAACGGGAGCAAGCAATGTTGCACGAATTATCTTGGCATCAACTTGCTGAGTTGTATGGGCAAGGTGATTGCCCGAATCATGTTCAACCGCCTCGTCAGTCAGGTTTTGGAACCTAAGGTTGTGGAAGGGCAGTGTGTATTCCGTTCGGGTGGCAGCAGTATAGATATAGTGTTTGCGGCTAGTCAGTTGCAGGAGAAGTGCAGAGAATGATACCAGCCGTTGTGCTCGCTTTTTGTTAATTTCACCAAGGCATTTGCTACGATGAACCGCGAGGCATTGTGGCTGGTGTTGGGTAAGTTTGGTTACCCGCGTAATGGAATGTCTGCACAGTGGTATGCAGGCGATGGTACAGCTGAGTGGAGAGACCTCGGATGAGTTTGCAGTAGTCTCTGGTGTGAAGCAATGCTGTGTCTTAGCTCCTGCCCTGTTTAATATTTCTCTTCATGCAATGATGTCTTGTGCCTTTGATGCCGCTTGTGCTTACGGTGTTCTTTTGGAGCACCGTATTGATTGTGGGTGGCTGAGCATCCGTCGTTTCGGTGCGAAAACCCTAGTCTGTGGGACGACTATCCGTTTGTTGCTGTTTGCTGACGACTGTACGTTGTTTGCACACAGGGCGGATGAGTTGCAGCACATGATTAGTGCTCTGGCTTCGACAGCGGCCAAATTCGGGCTCACCATCAACACAAGCATAACTGTCTGTGTACTTCTAGTCTTCACCGGAGGTACAATCATTAATATTGCTGCGGATCAGCATTGGTGCTGAAGTATTTGAAACCACTACCCGCTTTTGCTACCTTTGGAGTGTGATGCCGACTGACCAGCAGCTACACAGTGAGCTGCGTATCCGCGTGTCGATAGCAGCGGCGGCATTCGGCAAGCTAGAGTACCGGATGTGGAACAACCATCAGCTTAGCATTGGCACGAAGCAGATGGTGTACAAATCCGTGTTGCTGTCCGTTCTTCTATACGGCAGTGAAACGTGGACGATGTACTGACGGGATGTGCGATATCTCGAGCTGTTCCATCAACATTGTTTGCGACGGATTTTGCGCACTGGTTGGGGAGACAGAGTTACTGACACGGAATCGTTGCGATAAAGTGGAATGTATACAGTGGACTGCATACATTTGCTGAGACACCTGAGGTGGCTCGGTCATGTGAGCCTTATGGATTTGACGCGGATATCGAAACATCTATTACATGGTCAGCTGAGTACTGGGATGCGGCCTGTGGGGAAACCGAAGTTACGTTACAAGGACAT